GAAGGCAATTGCGGTCAGCAATCAAGCTTCGCGGTCGCAATCGACGCAGCCTGGCTCAACACTAGCTTCGCTGATGCTAGATCACCAAATTATATGGACTCGTCCAAAAGTCAGATGCCACGGAGACGCTGCTTGAAAGGCCCTTACTAGCCGATAGCGAAAGCCAGCAGAAGTTATTTGAAGGTTCAAGGTAGCGCTAATATTCAGGTAGCAAACAGTTAGCCTGGAATCCAAACCCAAATTCGATTACGGCGATACTTATAAGCCTACCAAGTTTAGATATTCGCCTACCTCAGGCGCCTGTTAGTTACACTTGACAGTGAGCATCCCTAATCTGCTTGACCTATATTAAACTGTGGGGAATATGTCTTCGCACACGTACACCAGCGGCGAAGATAAAATAACTAAGTCCAGGGACTTCATTTAAGTCAATGCGGGCCTTGTCAAACCAGGTTCTCAGTCTTGCTGTCTCCTTTTACACCGGCATAGAAACTGTGTGCTGATCTTTGAAGAATGCACCAAAACTGTCGCAGCCGTCTTTCATGCGTAGTATGATGTTCACATACTACAGCTTTCGTAGCAAGCCCGAAGTGTCTTGTCCGAGAGGAAGTCAGTGTACTTCCATCGAAGGATGGTTAACAGGTAACAATTTCCGTTATGGACAGCGGAATTCTGTAGTTTTTCACCACTGTCGTATCGACAAATAATTCCAAAGCGGTAGTTTATACTGTCACTTGGCCCGGTTGGGCAGTTCCGGTCTTAAGTGACAATTGGCAAGCGACGAACTGGGTGCATTTTGGCCAGTTTTCGCATCTCCAGGCGTAGTCTTCTTAGTCAACTGACGGGCAGGTAATGTTGATAAGAAGATGGAAATGACAGAGGCGTTCATGAAATTACCCTTGCAAATGAAAGTCAACCATTAAATGGTGCCCATGCAAGTAATGCTGGGTTTGCCCACTCTAAAAACCACTCAAACCATACTTGTCAGAAGACTCGCATTGGTCAGTGTGGCAGGGTAAAAAATTTGTTACTTTTCAGGATATCCAAACGTAGACGACTATTTGCTGTTAAATTTTGAACGCCATCAGAGAGAAACAGCAGTACACTCCAGTATCTAGTCCTGAGTCTTAACTCCAGACCGAATAGTCCAGCTCGCACACAATTTGGATAACGCATCCGCTGACATGGATGCCAGCGGACGTTTTAATATGGTCTCTTATAAATTCTGTTTGCAGGTGAATCCTCAGCAGGTGCTCGAATTATGTGCTCGATGTTGTCCTCTCAAGCACTTTAATTCAATGATGTAGAAGCGACAGTAAACGAACGAAGGTATTCCGCACATCAGATCTCAGCCATTGCTATTCTCTTAAGCCTCCTTTTAATAATCGAACCCCATTCCACTGCTATTGACGACAGACAACCAGAGGCTGTTTTTCCGGCGTTCCAATACTGGTAATTCGCGTCAAATCTAATATCAAGTTATACAGGTCCCAAGATCAGCACAGCTTTGAAAATGTATCTGGTCAGACCCCATTTCTGCATGCTCATGCATGCAGATCTCTCAAACAAGTACGTCATAAGAATCGGCACATTAATTTTTCTTCTGTTTTCAAAATACAACGAATCGTGTTGGGAAAGTGCCCCCACAAAACTCTAGGACATAATGCTTGAATCCCAAATGTGAATTAAATTTTGTTAAAGATAATTTGTTGTCGTCTGGCAAAGTGTGTTGCGTATGTTCTGCAATAATAAATACTTAAAGATTTCCTTTTCATATGGAAAATGTAACAGGAAGGTCTCTGTGAAATTGATTAGCCAGGTCTCGCTCGACAGAACAGCTGGCTGCTGGAGTAAAGGTAGCAAGTTTGTTTTCACTGTTAATGTTAAGCTCTTATGAAAACTTGGTAGGATGTATAGGAGAGACCAAATAAATAAAATACGATAAGCGCCGAGCACGAATAGAAAACGAAATTCCGATTAGAGAGGCAGAGATCCCGACGGGCTTACGGTAGTGCTTTTGACTTGACTTTCGGGTAATTCCAACGATATCTGCGGCTTCCATGTTTTTTAGTCAAACGACAGAACTGGATAGGATCTGTGGGATGTTAATCTATGCACAGGACACAAACGTCTACTCACTCGACCAGTATGGGTCGCTCAATAGGAGCAATTGAAGGAATAGATGCAGCATAAAGGGGAAATTTGCGATTTAAAGAGGTCTTTAGGAACCTGCATTACCAGTTGAAAGTCAGTCCCCACCTCAGTTATTGGCAACTATCAGGTAGACAGATCAGGCATAGGAGAGCAAAGTACTTCGGCGAAAATTAAATAATAGTGCTATTAGCTGCGGTCAGAGCAATTGACATCAATATATCGATAGCTGTCTTTTGATCTACTGTTCGTTTCATGTGAGTTGATGGTTAAAGGCGCTGCTTCCTAAACCGCCATAAACAGTGATGCTCAACGGCAGGAACGTAGGCCAGGAGGTGCACACATAGTCCCAAAAGAAAAATATACGGCAGGTTAAGGAAAAGTGTGGACAGGGATCAGTTCCGACTTCCGGTATCTCAAAAAATTTGTGCCTTTAGTAAAAACACAGATATTTTTGTTACTCGCTTGGTTGGCAGCCTTAAATGAATGACCAAAATTGGTCGCCAAATAGAACAACCAAATAACCCTCTAAGGGTGCAAGTAAATAGTTAATATAGGTGACACGAAGCCAGGTTGGGCGTCAGTGAATATCGCCATGCAAGGAACATATTAATGTGGAGAATATCTTTTAAAAACAAGGGACCGTGTCAGAATTTGTGAAGCTGAAAAAATTCACATAATGGTTAATCCTCTCTCACCTAAATTGCAAGGAACAAGGGGAAATTTACGTTAATTCGGTTTTAAACGTCCTAGTAACTAGTATACACATGTTATGGAAGAAAATTCTTTCATGTCTTATTTTTGTGGTTCAACAGGAGAGGAACCTGAGGAGGCGGAGCTGCTAAAAAGACTGCGACATGGAAACAAAAGGAACACTGTTCTAAAGAGAACATCTTTACGACACTCAGTTAAATGAAACATTAAGTCCAAAGATGCCAAAAAAAAACAAAATTAAGAAACATAGAATTGTATTAATTCTAATTGGTGTAAAGAATTTAGTTGGCAACCCGTTCATATTACAATAAAGGACCCACTCGTCTAATATGATTGATATACGATCATTAAAGGACAATTTTTTTAAGAGACAAAACTGTGGGACTTTATACCAAGTTAATTAAATAAAAAGGCAGTAAAACAGACCAACCAAACCTGCAAATTTCACAAAAGTGGGAGAAATAAGGTCAGAATGTACAATTTTATTCAAGGGTTCAATTAGCGCCCCAGTCAAATCCGCCAGGCCGTTCTTCTGGAAGTGGCCGATAAGCCGGATCTTCTCGACGCCCATCAAGAAGGTTCTTTCTGAGAAAATGTATAAAATAAACATTGAAGCATACAGGACTGTCGGTGTTCGCAATATTTTAAATCCTTGGGGTTGATTAGGGAACACGTCCTCCAAAACGTAATAGAGATGTCCAATTACAATACCTAAAGCGGTAAACAAAGGAAAGCAACTTGCCGACAAAGTCAACGCTGGCATTGTTACCAAGAAGATAGGATATTGCGAAGAAAACCCATGGCAAATAGGGAGCGTTGACTGTAAAAAGACCCATAATGTTTAGCCGCACAGACGGGCTTCTACGGCTCCATACATAGACGAGCATCATGGTCAGGACATGGCTGAGAAAGAGCATTTGTAAGAACATTCCAGCTATCTATATAAAGAAAATTACAAAAATGGCAGCACGTACAAGGGAGAGACAACCACCAAAAATAAACATCATGAGAAAATCAGCGGAACGTCCATAGTAATAGTTTTCTTCGAGCATTCGGCAATATCGATAAACAAAATACATGTTGAAAAAGAAATTGAAGTCAATTTGTCCAAAAAAGCAGAAACACGTAATCAACCTCCATAGCTAAAATTGATCGATTAAAATAGAAAAGAATTTACCTGGAGTTCTCCAAACACAAGTGAAGGATTAAAGTAAAGCTGTAGGGGGGATAAAATTCCGAGATGCTTTAGGAAGATTAGTGACTGTTTCAACGCAAACATACAACAGCGATTGAAAGGAATAGACACGCGGCCGCATAATACTTGGTAATGGGAGGCATGTTAGCAATTTCATGGCGAAGCTCGTCCATTCTGTGTAGTAAATAAGCAAATACGCGAATGTGAGAGCGTACACCCTATTTGGTTAAGTGCGGTTGGGGGTAATAAAAATAAACAACGATGCTCAATATCTCCATGATATATCAGACACTATCTGTATTTAACGCTCTAAATAATTCCGTGTGCGGTCGGCGAACTTTTTGCGTGTACAGAATCTCACAACGAATACCAAATGCACGTTATCAACGGCTGTAAATGTCACATGGGATGGACATATTAGGCAAGTTAATCCATCTTCAGAAAAAAATGTTCACTGTAATTTTATTTTAAAAATTTGTAGAATCAGAATTCTCACGTAACTTTTTACTACGTAATTTTATGAGCAAAGTTATAGTTATTCGGTCACTACTTCCTAGGTGTCGCCTTAGTTTGTTTTTAACCCTTTTTTTATTTGTAGGCATTAACGGTTGTTCGCGCTACAAGTTTGTCGACCCTGCTTTTGTTTTTGCATATTTTCTTTCATTTTTTAATATGGGCCATGTAGACTATCCTGCGGACGATAAAACAGACATTCCAGGTGTATCGTACCTTTGAAATAAGATTTTTTCACTTAAAACGTACTCCCTATTTCGCCCACTATTTACCAAGCAAAAAATCCAATATTGACTGCAAAAAAGGAAGCTTGTTTTAAGTTTTTTCCTGTCTTTCAGAGTTAAGAAGGCGCCCAAGAGGTCCTTTACCAGTTAATATTATTTTTGACCTTGCCTTCTAACTGGCAATAAATAAATACTGTCTCTATCAAGCTCCCTCCTTTCGCACCCAGCAATCCTCGCGTTCGGTTGACTCAGATAGAAGCCACATAAATAAGCTGCGTACTCGGTATTCGCACAAAGTACAATTGCTACTATTCTACTTGGCAGTCACAACCGCGGGCCTCCTCAACCGTATACCCAACGAGAAGCCTTATTCGGCACCGAAATATGCGGTTATCTTGCCCACATCCAAATCAGCCGACAGTGTGCTTCCTGAGCTTTTCACTTCGTTTGAGCTGGGTGACCAGATGCCATCGCAATAAATGCGTTATATGCACTCCTTGCTGGCTGGTTGTCAAATGAACAATGCCCTCTGCACTCTTCTAGTTACAATGCACCCAGTATTGAGAATGCTCGACGCGAACACATCACTACATAAAATGATTACTCATGCCGATCGCATTATGGAATGCTACCCTAGCGGTAGTTACTATCCTTCTATTCCTCCGGCCACGATCTCTTACATGGGGCCCGATACCACGCCAATTGCCGACTGCGATATCAAACATAAACCTGAGTGAGGTATTTCGCATTGGGCACCGACAGTTGGCTGTCGTTTTTCAGATCGGTCAACCGAACTCTCAGGCCTCACACGACCGACTCGCCGTTAAATCCAAAAGTCTTGTTTGGTTATTTGTGTTTTAGTCCCTTCATAGTTATTAGCTCCTTTTTGCCAAATCCCTAGACACTGTTGACATTTCCTCCTTATGTTGATTGTTTCCTTGCTACACGCCACAGCACGGCCATTCACGCTAAAATGGCCCGTAGTTTAATTAAGTAAATGGTGCCTATCATGTTAATCATTTGAATGCGTTTTTATGATCCACGAAAAGTACAGACTTCATTAAGTCGTCACTAAAAGCGTTACATATACTTTCAGCGGTATAATCCTTGTCCTTAGGCAAATGGCATTAGATGGATCTCCTGGACAGTACGAACTGTCTGGGGTTTTCTTTTGGAACGGACTGCCCGAGTGGGCCATTATGGTAGACACGAAAGACGCATTAAAACTAATCTTGATGCATATAGACTTAATGGACACGTTAATCTGCACAGGAAGGCATTGTTAGAATATATCAACGCTTTGCTGCAACTTACAGATGAAGTCAATATCTATTTGGGGCCGCCTGAATAAATTCCGCCAGCCTAGCGTCCAACTTCCGCCAATAGAAATTGCCTACTATTCTTATTGGTCAACAGGCATCAGTAACATATGTAATAATTATTACTATTTAACATCCCCTCCCTGAACTCACCCTCC